GGCAGCATTTGCTATGGCTCGCTTTTCACTGCTGCTATCCGGACTCTCCGGTGGGAGGTATCGTCCGAGCTTTTGCATACTCTAGTTGGTTTGGCAATGTTATTTCATATTTAAGTACCTGTTTAGAACCTCTCTTTCTCTTTTTGTGTTCATTTTGTTAACTCGTAGAATGCATTTTAGATCCGGGGATTCAGATCGAAGATTGGAGGCAATGAGTGTCTGCTTTGCTGTGTTGATTTTCTGTTTCATCTTGTGGAGACTCTTGTACGTTTCTTCAATAAGTATGCATATGTCCAGGTAATTTGATTTCTGCACCAATAATCTATCTGATTGTTGAGTGGTAGGCTAGGATAATGCAACAACTATCAAAACTTTGACATCACATTTAATGTTCGTCCTCTAAAGTTAATATCATCCGGAGAAAATGGATGATCTTCTAAAGGTTTTTTACCATGTTTATATGCCTACACCTTTCGTTATCCGAACACTTTCCTACCTTCTTACTTCTATGTGCCTTTTGCAAAATAATAGTGTTCTATGATTTATGTTTGTACTTACATGATATAATGCAAACATAAAATTCCAAATTCCAAACAATCACAAGTTGTAGAAATCTTTAGAGCATTCAACTTCATGATTTCCTCATAGTTGGATTTTTTATCCATATCATTTTAAAATTCAATTCTTATCCAATTTTAATTCTCTTAACTGAACATTCTTTCAGTTTTTGATTCATATCCATGTCATTTAAAGTTAATTTTAGTTGCCTTATTCTACCGTGTCAAATGCTTAACATGACAAGACAACTAAAATTTGTTATTTTTGTTCGATCTTGCAAGGGTCTTGATGGATATGTTTATTGTCCTTGACATCTCTTGAGATGACTGGATAAAAAATAATTAAGATAACACAAAACACCATATTACATTTTTCCTAATTCATATAACTTATCGTGGTTGTAGTGACTCTAGCTGCTGTAATAACTGCGCAACAGTGAAAATAGTGACAACAGGGGTAGGTTGATAATCATAGTGATGACAATAATAATAATTGTGGCAATGGTGATCCTAAAGTAGCAATGAGAAATATCAATAATAGTGATGATGATAATGATAGTGGCAATAGTGATAATTGTGGTAGCAGCAATGATGATGGTATTGGTGCAGTGGTGATGGCGGCAGTGGTAGTGCTGGTGGTGGTATTGTCAACAACAATGGCAGCGGTGGTGGCAACAGTAATGACAAGGATGGTGATAACAATAGCAGTGATGATGATGGTAATGGTGACAGGTGATGGCGGTAATGGGCACTAGTGAAGGTGAGAGCTTAGTAGCGGTAACGATGGTGTGAGAGTGGCAGTTTGCTATGTATTTTCAAGAATCTAATCAGATTTAAGGATACCATTCAGTGGTTGAATTTACAAAGATTTTCACATTGGGAGCATAGGAAGAAGGCCTAGTCACCTTGCTTAAGTCTTTGTTTTCTCTGTTAAACAATTTATGTGTCTAATTAGCATCTGACTTAAAGTTACCAGTACCGACTGCTTTTTATGTT